AAGCAGGAGCAATTTTTTAAGTCGGCCCTGCGGCAGGGCGGCAGGAGCGCAAGACCTTCCGTGCTGCCTAGATCGGCCCTGCCGCTGTCGCGTGTGTGCGCTACTTTAAGGCGGCTACTGACATACCTGCCGCAGGGGCAATCTAGGGAGAACAGCAATCGGGGCAATATCGGAGCTGTCTCTACACATACGCCTGCCGTTCAGTATGAGAGTGTACATCTTGCTGGACGCTCACGTTGAGAATGGCGCCAGTTATATTGAAATAGCACAGTCCACCTGATGGTAAGTGGACACTGTGGCCCATAGACACCCACATTTATCAATAAAACAACTAATTAATTAATAATTACAACCATAATATAGTGCTTATAAGCTGCAGCATAGCTCTGCTACGATATTTTTAAGCTATCAAAGACAATTAAATATGACTAACTTCACTCGACTAACTATTAACTTAATATAACCAATTTATTCTGTGATATAACTTAACTAACTAGTGCTTAGTAATTATAATTTAACTAGTGTTACAAATAAACTCTCTTCTAATGATGAGTTTCAATAAATTTAATTACTAAAATTTGTATTTTTGTTTAATTATTTAGTTAATGACATTTTATATTCCAGCAATTTTAATACTATTGGAATATTTTCTTTCCCATACTAGCCCTTATGATAAGTTAGGTAACAAATCCCAGTAATGTTACTTGTAAGTTACAACGTTCAAATAACATTATTTCTGCGGTTCTGACTTGTACTCATACGTGTGCTCCGCGCGAAAGTCGCAACTAACTGATTGAAATTGCCCCAATTGAAACAAGGAAGGTCTTGCGCTCCTGCCGCCCTGCCGCAGGGCCGACTTAAAAAATTGCCCCTGCTTGCCTACACACATCACAATTAAGGAGGCAATTAAGGGTCATCCCCGCTCCTACACCCTTGATTGCCCCTGCGGCAGGCATGTCAGTAGCCACCTTAAGGCAACCGTGTACCACACGGCCAACTATCTTCGAGAGGATGGGAAGTGGTTGCCCTTTGTCGGCTGGTACGGAAGAAAATGAGCAAGCAATTAAACATTTATTTAAAGAGAATAGCCGACTTATATATGAAGAGATTTAAGCGTCAATAGCCTAATGACAGGGCGCGGACCGCGAACTCGAAAGGTCGTGGGTTTGAATCCGCCATTCGACTACTGTCGTGAAACACAAGCATTGTAAGCTTACCAGAAGTGGTTAAAGGGAATATTAGTACTGTTTAATAGCATTACTAGTATTTTAAAAAAAAAAGCATATTGCATATTGGATCGGCTAGCGTTCCCCAGATTTCAGACTAACACCTTCGCGTGAGGACTGGCTATTTATGAGTATCTGCGTAAATCGGACCAAAATTAATAAATAAAAAACAAAGATGTTCCTGGTTTATTTTGACGTCGGAACTTCAAACGCGCTGCAGGACAACAGGACTGAGTCCTCCGTGACCATGGGTGCTGCAAAGCACCCGAAACGTGGGGATTAAAACAAGTAAAATTAAACGCGATAAAATCCATGAAACTAAAAAAAAGCTTTTGTTCAATGTATAGTGTTCGCGTAAATGTAAGAAATCATTATGTGAACTTAGGTATAGAATATAAATGTTTTATTTCACGAAGGAGTCTCATTCTGCTGCTCAGAAAAGCATGCGTCAATTATTTTCTTACATCATTGCCAAGAACTTTTCTACGATTACTTTGTGTATTAACTGTACCTGGTGATAATTTTTGATTGTTGAACTCACGACACTAAAATAATGTTCATGTGTACCTATTCTACAAGTAAGACCAACCCGCCATCCCGACATCGTGAGATAAAAATGCTATACCCGATTCAACAGAGTTAGTAATATATTCCCAGAAAATAAACCAGCTCCGACCATCACTTAGTTCAAATTTTAAAATACTGTAGGTAGGTGTAGTATGGCCATAAGTTAAGTTACGCAATAAAAATAATTTCTTTTTTATAGAATTAATGTAATCATTATAAACCTTTCGTACATATTTATCAAAATCTTAGTGATTAATTATAATAATTTTATTCAGTGATCGCCCTTTGATTTAATACAGGACTTTAATCTCTCTGCCCACGAATCTATGGATTTACACACTGTCAAAATGATTACAAACACGAATAAGTCATAAAACACGTATATGTTAACATAAAAAAGATTTATTATTTTAGATAAACAGATATATAACTTTTTCATTGCATCTTTAAACATTAAACATGTATAATTACGGTAAAGTTAGAGTCGTGATAGTTCTAGAGACCTAAGCGCTCACTGTAAATTTCACAATACGCCAGCAACCCTTGTTCGATACTCGCCGGCACCTAGTAAATTGTAAATTTACGATGTCTCGGAAGTTTTTCCCAGAGATCCCAGTACCCTTCATATATGCCGATGGTGACCACCGAGGGGTTTTAGCCGGTAGGAGTCTGGCATAAGCTTTTCGTTTCCCGCGCAGCTGAAGGTATCCATGAGGACTTCTCCATGATAAAAAAATAAAAAGTGCTGATTTATCAGGCGCTCGGTGGTTAAGCAAAACATCTTGAGGAAACATGCACGTCTAAGAAATAAAAAAAAATATTACCAAGACATGTAAAGTCCGCCAACACGCATTGTGTCAGCGCGGTGGACATTTCCTTACCCTTGGTAATGTGAGGTGACGTGTGCCCAGAAGTGAGACGTATGTATAATGTAGGTATATAGGCTGTAACTTATACAGAAACGTTAGAAACTCGAAACCCATAGGCGACAGGAAAATTTATTTGATATTTTTTATATATAATTAAGTACGTAAACAACATTCAATATTTGAATTTAACAAACATAATTTCATTATATTGAATTATTGAAGTAATTTTAACCCTTCTCAACAGAGACTAGTCATTTACGCAGGACAGGATTTCAGTGCACAAGTGTGAGTGCAAGCACAGTTTCAAATCCATTCATTACAGCCTATAAAAGTCCAACAGCTAAACATAGTCCTCCGCCATAGATTGCCTCATAGAGAGGATTTTGCAATAGTTGCAACGTTTGGCGGTCGGGTTGGCAACTGCAATATTTCATTATTTTGAGTTTTTATCAGGAAGATGCTACTGTCTCATCTTCCGTCGTCACTTACAACACCGGCGGGACGATAAAGGGTAGTGAATATTCTTACACCGCCACTACACGGTTTCAAATGCAGTTTTCTAATTTAATCTATACTGTAAGAGTGATTTGTTAAACGAACTTTCAAATAAATTATCATTATTTTTATCTATGACACAAAATATATGGCTTATATTCGCCGTTTAGTAGCGGCGTAAAAGAATCAAATATCTCATATCCCGTGAGTGTCGTAAGAGGCAACAGAACGAAATGAAACAGATAATAGACAGCAGCGTCTGCTATTAAACCCTCCGAATAATAATAATAAATGTGGTTAAACCCGTCTGTCAAGCGTGGCAAATATGGCAGATCCCCCCCTATAAGGGAATCAATCGGCAAGCCTATGTTCAGATGTGGACTTCAATAGTAGGTACCTACGCTGTAAAGAAAGAAACATATAAAAATATGTTCGGAAACTTGACTTAGTTAAATATGCCTACATAATACACATAATGAAATTGGCATTTTGTCGAACTTTGGCGACTTTGATCTCAAATATTTGGCGTTTGTTTAGGAATTCCAAATTCAAATTTAGTAGTTTAGTCTAGTATTTATTCGAATTTAGCGATTCATTTGTTTTCGCGCAATTTGATTTTATTTCACATCGGTCTGTTCACATTAAGAAAAACATAAAATATCGCGTTATTTACGAATACGAGTTGCTCCGTATCACCACCGATGCTGAAACATATCGAAGGATTAATGAAAATGTATGGGAAAGCTACTGTAAAAGGAAACAGATGCTGCTGTCCATTTCCTGTTTTATTTCGTTCTGTTCCCTCTTACGATATCCAGGAGATGATATGGTGTAGTGGATTCTCTTGCATAGCAACTCCCCGGCGCTACATAATATACGTCGATGAAGAGAAATTCTTGGTTTCATAGCATGAATTAAAAAAAACAGCCTAATCCATTGATTTTTTAAATAATAATGGTCGCAAATTTACTTGGATGATTCTTAACCGACAAAATTGATTTCATTTTTTTAATAGGATATGGGTGACAAACTAATATGTAATGCCTCGTTTCCAGTAAATAGGTTCTCCGGTTCTCTACACTCACCGTATGAAACACAGCAGCGTTAAGCTGCTATTTTGTGCTGGTATTCTATGAGAACGTGTTCCTTCACCGGTCGAGCCGACCCATTCGTGCTATAACTATAAAGGTCTAATTGATTCAAGCGGTAGTAAGTAGGTTTTGACATGTTTCAGGACTTGGATCAAGCCTAAATGGATATAATATGTTTGGATTTTTAAAGAACCGTGTAAATTGTTCAGAATAATGTCTAGTTTTATGTTGTAGAACCACACTGCAGTATGGCTGCACCACGAATAGGTCGGCTCGATAGCAGCGCATCACGCTCTCATAGAATAACAGCGTAAAATAGCAACATAAATTAAGTTGCTGCTGTATTTCGCACAACACCGGTGGGCTACAAGAACGGTTTTATTGGTATCAGAACATTCCATCGTTGTCCCCAGGAGTGACAACGCAACAAGTTCAATATATATAACATATCTTATGATCCAGACCACTTCTACGAATGCAGCTGTTTCACAGTTTTGTTTTTCAGGGTTTACTTCTATAAGCCCAAAAAATTAAAGCAAGCGAGTATTATGAATGCAGAATGAATGGATTGACGTGACCATGCTCGCACAAAATACCAGCGTACAAATAACATTGAGTCGCACAATGCATCTGCATTTTAATCCTTAATCGAGGATAGGTGTCGTCTATTAAACCTTACTTATAAAGAGTTTCCTTGACTTTTTTCTATGTCGTGATAGAATGTCCAAAACCATCATTTACGTTCTTTGCAGCGCGCGCAAACAGAGGCGGTAACGTTTCTGGGCAACCAAGAGTCGAGTAGAAGTCTGTACGCTATCCCAGGGCTGGATTATGTGGCACACGAAGACATCATCCCCTACACCTCAGTCGAACGAGTTCCACTACAGCATGAACTATTCGACAAATTTCTCATGCACAACCCTGACAAAGGTATTTTTTTTTTGTTGAATGTTGAATGTTATAAGTCTCGTTAAATTTTACTTTACCAGATGGCGTGAGACCTTTTCTATTTAAAAATCCCATCCTTTTCATTATCTAAATAGCAGCTTAATGCTGCTGTGTTTCGTATGGTGAGTGTGGAGGACCGACCCTTTTTACTGGAAACGAGGCATTCCATCTTAGTCCTTAGAGGTAGCAGCGCGTCTGCATTTTGATTCTTAATCGAAGATAAGTAGATGTTATGGGATATTAATGTCTATGGGCCACAGTATCCACTTACCATCAGGTGGACTGTGTTCGATTGTCACCGTTGTTCAAAAAAATATATATCCGCAGTTCTGCAGTGTTCCGGTTTGAATGTAAGGACAGGAGGTATAATCACAGTCGTTCCGTCGAATTCCGGAAATCGGTTTTTGTATTTAAGAATCTTTCCTTAGGACCCGTTTTCAAGGGCAAGCAGTGCAAATACAAAGTACCGATTCAACGACTTACTACAACGTTTTTTTTTTACTTATTAAAAGCCAGTGCCTGAACACAATCCCATATGGTGGTAAGTGGTGATGCAGCCTTAGATGGTAAATCATATTGTCTTAGCGACAAACAAAAGTCTATTCATTCTAGGCTTGAAGATGCCCAGATTGTATTAGGGCGGAAAGATAGACGACGGCAAATTATTCCACTCTTTTGCTGTACTCATTACAAAAGACGAAGCAAACCGTTTGGTTCTAATGCGTGGAATATCGACAACAAAGGGATGGAGACCCGCCGACCGCCTGGTTGTCCGATGGTGGAAAGGAGAGGGAGGAATTAAAGCGTGTAATTCCTGCGCACACTCACCGAAATGTATCCTATAGAATACCGAGGGACTGGCTACTCTGCGCCTGTGCTCGAGGCTGACAAGATTGTTTTCAACCAAATCAAGGTCACCAATGAGCCTCTTAGCATGTCTCTCCACTGAGTCCAACGTTGCCAGGTGGCGTTTTGCAGTACCAGCCCATATGTGACAGCAATACTCCATGCACGACCGGACTTGCGCTTTATATAAGGTAAGAATCTGCCCCGGCGTGAAATACCGCCGCACCCTTGCAAAGACACCAAGTTTACTTGCGGCTGCTTTGACTCTGGACTCAATGAACCGCCCATAGTTGAGGTTCGGAGAAAATTCAACCCCTAAAAACTGATGGCGGTCAGTGTACTCCAAGGATACATTCCGGAAAGTAGAAGCCAATGTGAGTGAGCTCCTTTTAGCGGTGAAAATACAGGCTTGTGTTTTGGAGGCGTTAAATCTCACGAGATTGTCATCGCCCCATTCAGAGACTGCCTGTAGTGTGAGACTCACACGCTCAACCATAGCCTCTCTTTCTGACTGGATTTGATCCCGACTCTCCCGGGCTCTTGGTTGGTATCTCTCCATAATTGTGCTGTCGTCTGCATACCCATAGATACCGGGAATGAGCAGATCATTTATATGCAGCAGGAAGAGAGTTGCGGAGAGAAGGGACCCCTGAGGAACACCGGTGTTAGTCGCCACAGTATCGGATGAGCAGCCATCGACGACGACCCGGAGAGACCGTTCATTCAGAAAGTCCTTCACCCAGACAATCAGGCCAGAAAATAAGCCATACGCTGAAAGCTTGCTCAATAGACTAGCCTGCCAAGGCTTGTCAAAGGCCTTCGAAACGTCGAGGGAAACAGCAAGTGCTTCACCACTGTTCTCCAGGGCTTCGCCCCGTTTGTGAGTGGCATACGCTAGAAGGTTCCCAGTTAATCGATTTCGGCGAAACCCGTACTGGCGATCACTGAGGAGATCATTTTGCTCTAGGTATGCCATGAGGTGGGCGTTCGATATACGCTCCATAATCTTGCAGAGTATGGAGGTAATTGAAATTGGCCGATAGTTGGCAGGGTCGGTACGGCTACCATTTTTAGGCACAGGCTGCACATTGGTCAGCCACAGGACGCCATATACTTGTGCTTTCCAGCACGAGCGCACTCGGCGTTGAACGATGGGCATGCTTTACACAGTACACAGACGTATCACATCGGTTAGGGCATCTTATCCTTGGCGGCAGGTCTGCTTCTCGTCTGATGACGAGAAGCCGACCTGCCGCCAAGGATAAGATGCAAAGAAATGCCGCATCTCATTCCAATCTGCTGACTTATATCGCCACACTCTGCGCACACCGTGGAAATCGTAATTAGGTGGGAAATATAACGACATAGATTTCACCAGACAGTGGTCAGAAGTTGCTAAGGGTGAGGTAACCTGAACATCGTATCTGTCTGGATCGGTCGTCAGCAGAAGGTTGTCCCCTACCCACATCAGGTTCCCTAGTTTCTTGTTGTACCAGTTTGGAGAGCCCAGCGATAAGGCAAAATTTCACGCCTCTCTCACAGCGTGTTCGGTCTTCTGGTATGGGAACAGCCAGTCCTGATGATAGGCATTAAAGTCCCCCAGAAAAAGCAATTGTGCATTGGGGTACCGATTTAGAGCCACATCAGAGGCGTCACTGCGGTGTTCAAATAGACTAGTTGCCTCCTGGTCACCGCTGTGCGATCGGTAGACACAAAAATAAATAATTTTATCCATTTCTGTGTCCATCAACACCCAGATCGTAGAGAAAGTGGGATCTTCAAGGTGACTGAGACGCTTACAACAGATGTCATTGCGGGTGACAGACTCCGGCGCGCTGATGGAAATTATGCTCAAATATCTACCCAGGGTTGCCAAGGTACGCCGCACCTAGAGGACATCTGATCTGCGTCTCAGTCAAGAAGAGTAAGTGTGGCTCGTCAATCTCAAAGTGGTAATGGACTGCATTGAGATTACAGTGCATGCTTCGGATGTTTGTGAGGTGCACTTTGATGGAGAGGGAGTGCAACCGCTGTACAAACTTACTCTTCTTTTTCCTTTTTTTTTCATATAATATTGGGAGTGAATAGGTTGAGAGAATGGCAGTTTGACGAGGCGTCACACATATAACCTAGGGACGCAAACAGTCTCAGCATCGATGGCACCTAGTATGGAGATCGCGGGGACGTCCGGTCCCCCCTGGAAATTGCCACCAGGCCCTCTCCTCCTGTTGCCAACTGGCATGGTAGAGCCATCTCAGGATTTTTCGTAAGATGGCGCGGCAGCCTTTCATGAGTGGCTGGCTCTTTAATTGGGCCCCCTACTATCTACGGTCAGCCAGCGGTGCAACCGTGCTTCGGATCCCGCTAACCTCCATAACCAGGCACCCGACATTAAGAAACGGCTGCGTCGCAACTGGTTTGTATGCGCAACGCAACCAGAACATCATACCGGAACACGATTTGCATCATTTGGCTGTATGTCTTTGCCAGGTGGGTGGTAACTAACTCTCGGCCGGGCCTCTCACTAGTAGAGGACCAACCTACCACCAGTATGTAGTGCTACTCGTTTAGCACTACCCACGGGATACCTGTAGAGCATCAGGATTCAAGTAATTCCTACGGACGCGAACAGCTTCATCCCCCTAAACGTGTTTTATTTTGAGTCGTCGTAATTTGCCAAACGAAGTTTTGTGCTATCATTTATTAACTTCCTTCTGCGTAGCATTGAAAGGAAGTTAATGGTTTTAGCTGGCAGTCTGTTAGTCTGTATGCCGACACGATAACTTCCGTTCCACTGGACCGATTGACTTTAAATTTGGTATGTGGATACCTTGAGGTAGTAGCTCGGTCGAGTTTGAATTTGGGTCCTCTAGGTCAAAGGGCACCAGAGATATGGGATTCACGCAGAAGGAAGTTGTTTTTCTTGAATTTACATTCAACTCGTTTCTTGTTTAAACACAGCTAAACGCTTTTAATATGCTTTCTATTTTTTTTTAAATAATACATACGCAATATTGTTAGCCGATTTCAAAAAAGGAGGAGGTTTACAATTCCACTGTATATTTTTGTATGTATGTTAGGCGATATCTTTGTTAATTGTGAACTCATTTTGATGATTCTTTTTTTATTAAAGGGTTTTATTAGGTTATACTTCTAGGATGGTCCCACATAAGTGTGGAGAAGAATTCCACCCCTGAGGGGGCAAAATAGGGGATGAGGTTTTAAGTGTAACAATTTAGGTCGTCTGAATCGTTATACCAAAACTACGTGCCCGTTAAGATAAATATTCCTTAGTATTCAAAAGGGAAAAAATGTAAAAGCTAACTTCAATTTTTTATTTACTTAATTGTTTTTAATATTTTTAGACCCTCCATTCATAGCACAAGAAACACTTCGTGCGTGGCAGAAAAAGAACCACCCATGGCTGGAGTTGAGCGACGTACATCGTGAGACGACAGAGGGGGTGCGAGTCACTGTGATACCATTTTACATGGGTAGTCGGGAGTCGCAGAATTCGGCTGTGTATTGGGTGAGATGATATTTACGTATTTTCTTTTCTACCGACTTCAAAAAGGAGAAGGTACTCAATTCGACTGTATGTTCTTTTTTATGTGTGTTACCTCATATCATAACTTGTTTCTGTGTGAACCGATTTCGATGATTCTTTTTTTATTTGAAAGCTGGTGCTTCTCGTGTGGTCCCATATAAATTTGGTCAAGGTCTGACCAATAGTTTTTGAGTTATTCTTAATAATTGATAATGAAGTCGATTGCACAACATTTTAAATTTTAAATTATTGTGTTATATTTTGTCTGTGGCATTTCAAATACCTATATAGGTAGAAACGAAGGTTATTATAGTCGCGTCGCACTGGAAGAAAATATATGAAAATTACAGCCTGTGTGTATGTAGTAATACTGCATTCGATCGGAGAAAGAAACTATACTGATATAAGTACAGTTTTCTTATAACTAGATACAATTATAATATTTTAAACTTTGGCCCAATTAAGGTTTATATTAATCATCATCAACATCATAGATGATTCAATAGGGTTTTGTCAATATGGATTTCAAAATCTGCCTTGCAGCGGTTTTACGCAGATTATATCGATTAGAGATTGAAACGTGGTAGAGCCACGCTGCAGCTATGTTATGGTTCTAGCATGAATGGGTCGGCTCGACCGGGGTAGGAGGACCACGCTCTCACAGAATACCAACGTAAGTTCTGTGTTTCATATGGTGAGTGCAGAGAACCGGAGACCTTTTTCTGGAAATGAGGCTAAGATGGACTTTAGTCCTCAGGGGTGACAGCGTATCTGCATTTTGATTCTTGACCGGGGATAAATGTAGATGTCTATGAACCACAGCATCCACTTACCGTCAGGTGGACTGTGTGCTCGTTTGTCACCCTTATTCTATAAAAAAAGATTATTCTACATATAATCGATTGTTGTGGGGAGATCGATGTTTATAGGTAGTATCAATGTATAACCTGCAGTGGCGATATACATAAATAATATTTTATTTTGAATGTATCTATTTATTATAAAATATTTTGTTAGAATCTCTAACACTGCATACACAATATTAAATACATGGTCAGAGAGAGGCGACTATTGGAAAGGTCAGAAAGATCTTTCAGCATTATATCATGTCGTATAATATGTCAAATGCAAATTACGTAAACCGATGACAAGGAGCACCATTTAAGGGTACGAAATACCAGACATCTCAATCGCCTATCAGCCTGCCAAGCGTGGCCATTGCGGCATATTCTTGTAAAAATGGAAGGGACCTACTTGTACAGCGGTGGACTATGGCCGGCGGATAAAGTAACAGGACAGTAATGCATTCAACAAGAGTTAAATTGATATATGAAATTTGGTGCAGGATTCCAAAAAAAAAAAAACTTAAATTCTGTCCTACAGTGGCGATATTGCATCCGTCTGGAGAACCTTGGCGCTCAAGCCGTTCAGCTTCGCGAGCGACACTGGCGCATCTTCTCACTGTCCGGCACGCTGGAGACTGTCCGGGGCCGCGGGGTGGTGGGGCAGGAGCCCGTGCTGGCGAGGCACGCGCCCGCCTTCCAGTACAGCAGCCACGTCAGTCTGCAGGCGCCCAGCGGACACATGTGGTGCGTACAGACTTGCAATAGTATAGTGAGCACTGCGTACTCACGTGTTGGTATTACAGCGGACACACAGTGTGTATACATTTGCAACAGTACAGTGGACATGTGAGCGTGCGTAAGCAGTACTGCGGACACAAGATGTGCCCACACACTTGCAGCAGTACAGCGGGCACACGCGTGTACACACTTGCAGCAGTACAATGTACATTGATTATTTTTGATGCCATAGTAGCACAGTGTCTAAGCTCTTTGCTACAACGTTGTGGAACGCAGACTTAATACCGCCAAGCCAAATATTTTTACCTGCATATACGGTACGTGACGTCTGGTACTGGGATCGTCAATCCACCTGCTAAGCACAAGTGTGACGATTAACGCAAATACTACCAGCGGTTTTTTATGGGCTGATGTAGTGTGAAGTAAAGTTGTGTTATGTTAGAATTAAAATCACATCTGTCGCATAGTAGCGATGTAACAATATCCACTATAAGTCGACGAAACGGCACGAAAGTCTAGCGGTAACCGTTATTGTGCTTAAGTCGAAAATAAGGTATCATATGGTAGAAAGCGGGTCGCGAGGCAGTCGTCCGTCGTTTACACGCGCTGATTGGCTCTCCAGTCGCATTCGTGCAATTCAATTTGTGCGCCACAGTACCCATGCGCAGCTATCCCCTCCACGTTTCGTTCAGCGCTAGATTTACGTGCCGCGACTTATACCGAAAGTTATCCCGTGGGTGTCGTAAGAGAGGCCAGAGTGAAACTGAAACTTAATTATAATTAAAAAACTGCTGTTGCCAACCCGCCTGCCAAGTCAATTTATACCAAATTATACCAAAATCTCCCCTATGAGGCAATTTATGGGGGAATCCTATGTTCATCAGAGGACTTGATAGGCTGTTATGGACGGATGGATAGGGCATCTATGTTATGTCTGTTTTGTATAATCACTGATAAATAAAATGTTATAAATTCGACAGGGGCACGTTCAGGATGGAGCGGGAAGATGGCTACACTTTCGACTGTCGCATCCCACCATTCTCGCTGGAGAGCAAACCTGATGAAGGCGCTCCTATAGCGCCCACGCCTGCCGCCTGATGAACAACCAACCAAACCGACAATAGACATAATAAATTTTACACTAGATTGCTATAAAACTTTGAAAAGTCGATTTGATTTCTCCACTTAAAGAAAAACTTAACATTTTCAATTAAATAATTTAGCTGTTAGTATGTAAAAATTTAATCGCGATCTTAAAACTAAGTTTTGTAAATAAATTATATAAAAGTATTTCAAATTTAAAAGCGACATATTCGATCTACAAAAATAATATGAATCTAAAGTTTCCTAATTAATGTAACGAAGTTAGAATTATTTCCCGGTGTTTCACTATCTTTGACGATGCAATCATTAACTCAACAAAGTAACACCTTGATATCAATGTACTAAAGTTTAGTTACTAAACCAATTACTGTTATAAACAATTTAAAGCTAATCAAAGTTTTATAGCTATTAACAAAATTGTACTCTGGTGAAATAAGGTTATAGTTTAACGAAAAGAAAACCACAAGGAAAACGAAACCGTGTTTTATTGTTTTCTGATAATATAATTCATTTAGTTACGTTAAAATACATAAAACGCATGTTCAGAAATTTTCGTTCGACTTTAATTACACGTTCAATCGAAATGTGCAGTCATAGATATATGTTTCTAAAATCAGAGGTTGCTATTAAAATGATCTCAATTAAAACTTAGCATTCAATAGCAAGCGATTTTTGAGCACTGACTTTCACATGCGTAAAAATTATCTGCGCAAACTAGTCCCACCAAAATATTCCAGCGTTCAAAAACGCGCCAATTGTTATAATTGAGGTAATTTTAACAATAGAAGGCGGGATATGTTACGATTGCGACTGTACGTCTAAAAATTAAATCGTTCGAAAAAAAATTGAAAACATGCTCATAATTTCGTCACTTAAGTAATTATTATAAAGAAAAAAAATCTGCGTTTTATTTATTGTGATAGAAATAGACCGTAAATCCGTAACGTTCATAAACATTTATTGCATCGTCCATTTTCTTTTTCAGTTGGAATAGCATAGCTGTTTTAAATTTATTATCTAGGTCTGTAATAAATTACAGTATTCTGTTACCTAAGTGTTTTATTTTATTTAATTCATTTTACTTTTATGGGCTATTTTTTGTACCGTCAAATAAAAGATCATTTGAATAAATTATAACATGACTGAATATAAAAGTAAAACTAAAAGAACTATTTTGTTCATACAACTGTAATTTTTAATCTGTTTATGTTGTATTTTATTATATGAATAAATTTTATATGAATCATTATTAAAATTAATTGAAAAATTGGCCCTTAAAGTGAAGAGTATACAGGCGTTCATATAAAATAAAATATAGAAATAAATAAGAGTGAGGATGAGGTGTAAACGCTAACTTAACCTGTATGCAGCGTACCTTGCTGTTTAAAGAGCACCCAACGTGGTACAGGGAAATCTTCCTGGCAGGCCCATTCGCTAACCTTGTTGACTTCAAAATGATAGTATTTTTGAAGTACAATGCGTCGTATACTTGATGAGACGTGGTAACTCTTATATAATAACTATATGGAATACGCAATGTACTGAAAAGTTACTATCATTTCGTTGTCACCAAAGTTAGGGTAGAAGCTTACAGGTAATAGGTGGTATTTAGAGAGGCTTTGGTTCCTACACCTGAGATACGGTGGGTAATTTTTTTTTATATAGATGAGTGACAAATGAGCACACCGTTTTCCTGATGGTTAATGGTAAATGGAAACTGTAGCCCGTGGACCCCAACTACCCGTGCGGTTAAAGAATAGGACTAAAAATGGCGTCGCCTCCATTCACCTCTTCGCTCGCACACTGTCGCTATCTATGCTCACCTTCGCTGGTAAAGACTGGAAAAACAATAGGTTGTGATATGCGTTATTCGTTCGTTTTATAACTTCAGTCCGACTTGTAACTGAAATCAAACAAAATACCATAAACCACAAAAAAGTTTTCTTTATAATGGGTCACACCAACATGTTCTAATTTGACAATAAAACCTATATAGCTTTAAAGCTATGTTTATGAAAATAACAATAATTTTTGTTTCATACAAATTGGTGCAGAAATACGAAAGTTATAACGTTTTGAAGTTTCGCAATATTTTTTAATTTTTACCCGCTCGTTCTCTGTGACGTGACGTCACAATCCGAGAGAGCGAACGTGTAGTAGGAACTTGCTAATAAACGTAGTGATTATATTCTCTTTGCTTGCTAAGTTCAGTACTAAACACGCGCTCGGAAGTATACGGTCGTTTACCTACATATTATATCGAATGTCAGAGTTAGTATCCGGTTGACTGTATTAGATGACATAATACTTTAATAAACCCAACGACTATATAATAATTTTGAACTAATAATTTATGAATAATGTAATCTAATCCAATGTAATCAATATTATTTATGATGAATAATTTAATTTAATAATCTAATTTATTATTATGAATAATGTAATCAATGAACTATTAATAATATTTGACATCTGTATGCCCATGAGGATTCAACTCGGCTGGGCAGCGTTCGGGAAACTACGACACATCTTCTCGTTAGACATACCTCAAAACCTGAAAACGATATTGTACAACCAGCGCGTGTTGCCAGTGTTGACTTTGGACGGATCTGAGACGTGGTCCTTCACTGCTGGTCGTATGAGGAAGCTCAAGGTTACTCAGCGAGTTATGGAGAGGGCTATGCTCGGGGTTTCTCTGCGTGATACATAGGCCTCCCCCAAAGAATGCCACAAAACACGGTCCTGAGCCACCTGCATCCATCGACTTCCTGCATGTCTTACCAGGTCGTCACTCCATCTCGTGGGGGGACGCCCTACACTTCGCCTACCGGTACGAGGCTGCCACTCGAGAACCTTTCTTCCCCATCGGTTGTCGGTTCTTCGAGCTATATGGCCGGCCCACTGCCACTTCAGCTTACTAATCCGTTGGGCTATGTCGGTCACTCTGGTTCTACTGCGGATATCCTCATTCCTAAGTTTATCACGCAGAGAAACTCCGAGCATAGCCCTCTCCATAGCTCGCTGAGCGACCTTGAGCTTCCTCATACGGCCAGCAGTGAAGGACCACGTCTCAGTTCCGTAAGTCATCACTGGCAACACGCACTGGTTGTACAATTTCGTTTTAAGGTTTTGAGGTATGTCTGACGAGAAGATGTGTCGTAGCTTCCCGAACGCTGCCCAGCCGAGTTGAATCCGTCGATTGACCTCTCGGTCGAAGTTGGACTTACCCAGTCGGACTATTTGTCCCAGGTAAACATACTCGTCAACAACTTCGAGCTTAGTGTTCCCAACAACTACCGGCATAGGTGTGACATGGACATTAAACATGATCTTAGTTTTGTCCATGTTCATCTTAAGACCTATCCGTTGGGAAACACTATTGAGGTCATTGAGCATAGTGCTTAGGTCCTCCAGCGATTCTGCCATAAGGACTATATCGTCGGCAAATCGAAGGTGAGTGATGTACTCGGCATTGATGTTGATACCGTATCCTTTCCAGTCCAGAAGCTTGAAAACGTCTTCCAATGCAGCGGTGAAGAGTTTCGGGGATATGACGTCACCCTGTCTTACACCTCTCTGCAATTGGATAGGTTTCGTACTCTGGTTCTGTACTTGGATAGCCATCGTAGCCCTACTGTACAAGCACTTCAACACTTCGATATACCGACAGTCAACTTGGCACCGCTGAAGGGACTGCAGCACCGCCCAAATTTCGACGGAATCAAAGGCTTTCTCATAGTCCACATACGCCAGACATAGTGGCAAATTGTACTCTTCGGACTTCTGTACAACTTGCCGAAGGGTATGTATGTGGTCTATGGTGCTAAAGCCCTTTCGGAAACCGGCTTGTTCGGGAGGCTGGAAGTCGTCAAGTCTGCGCGCGAGACGATTCGTAATGACTCTCGAAAACAGCACGTAGACGCGGCTCAGAAGGGAAATCGGTCTGTAGTTCTTCAAGAGAGCGTTGTCACCTTTCTTGAAGAACAAGACCACCGCACTTCTGCTCCACGCCTCCGGTGTAATGCCACCATGGAGGACGGAATTAAAGAGCTTCTGAAGGACTTCAAGTACCGGTCTTCCACCCGCTTTCAGAAGCTCCGCTGTAATTCCATCCTCGCCTGGGGCCCTACCGTTTTTAAGGTGCTGGAGAGCCATCCTAATCTCGCTCAGACTGACATCCGGGATATCTTCGGAATAGTGTCGGATGAGACTCGCTCTTGGATCGTTACTCACACTTGCGTGTGGCTCCAACGATGATGTGTACAGCTGCCCATAGAACCTCTCAATCTCACTCAAAATCTCAGTTGTCCCGGAAACGATGCTGCCACATTCTGTCTTCAGCTTTGACAGTTGGCTCTTTCTGGCAGACAGATCTCTGGCAAAGACTTTGGAGCCTTGGTTCCGCTCGATCGCTTCTTCAATACGAGCTGTATTGAAGTTGCGTAAGTCCCGCCGCATGCATTTGGAGATCTGTCTGTTCAGATGCCTGTATGCTGTCAAGTCTGTTGAAGAATGTAGCTTCATCTCCCGTCTAACAGCCATGAGATTAAGAGTGTGATCGGAGAGTTTTTGTGTTCTTCTGCGGCGGGTCTTGCAGAACTTAGCTCCAACCGCATGGACAGTTTCCACGAGCTTGTCATTCATATCGTCCACTTCATTGCAGTCTTCCAGGCACTGAAAACGGTTTTGTAACTCGAGCTGAAAGGTTTCGGGACTTTGGAACAGAGCACGAGGGGGACGGAGCGTTGACTTCATTAGACGAGACCTCTCCAACTTAACGTTTAGGTTCAGTGTGCCTCTAACCATTCGGTGATCGCTACCAGTTTTCACCCTCGCGATCACGGAGACATCACTGAACAGTTGTCGTCTGGTCGTCATAATGAAGTCAATCTCATTTTTTGTGGAACCGTCGGGGTTCGACCAGGTCCACTTCCTGTGGGGCCGCTTCTGGAAGAAAGAGTTCATCATAAAGAGTCCCTCTTTCTCCATGAAGT